ACCACTCAGATAGTCAAACACACCACTCAGATAGTCAGACACCACTCAGATAGTCAAACACCACTCAGATCGTAAAACACACCACTCAGATAGTCAAACACACCACTCAGATAGTCAAGCACACCACTCAGATAGTCAAACACACCACTCAGATAGTCAAACACACCACTCAGATAGTCAAACACACCACTCAGATAGTCAAACACACCACTCAGATAGTCAAACACACCATCACGCGCACGTCTGTGCAATACTTCACTTGCTCAGGGTTCTCTACCAACGAGCCAGTGCCATGCTATGGTCACACCACGGTTGAAGAAGGCTGGAGCAGACCCTTCTGACACAAACACCAACGTTTGCAATACTATACGCAATTCCAAGTTGACATTTGTGTCAAGGAAATTTTTTAACTGGTTTGTAGTCGGCTTGCGGCTTCCCTTGAAGCCAACAGCCTCATACCAAGCCTCTAATCAGCGGTCCGACACACTCGAGCGACAAACAGCAGTCCTGAAGGTCATCCCTGATGCATTCATTTCACGTGGTTGTGGTGGAGTCGCGCTGCTCTGTCGACTGGACCTGCCGGCTGCGTTCGATTCACGACAATAGCTACCCTTGTGCACGTCGGTGTGACCTTCATAAAAATTAATTTCTTGAAAGTCCTCCTATTTGGAATGGTGTAGTAACCTTAGCCCCTCTGCGTCGAGCGTTAGGCGGGGGTTGCTGGTGTAGAGTTTGACCCGCGTGTGACGAATACGTGAAGATTGCGTAAGAGCGTTGATGCCTGCGAATGACTGGGATTGGTTTTAAGTGGCCACAATTGACATTCACAGCCCACTCCTGACGCCAACTGCACCCCATTGATGTATGCATGTACGTATGTTGAACTTCTTTCGCACCGCATGCGAACCGACCGTGCGAATCTCCTTGTCCACCGCACGCTGCTCCCCTTGCCACCGCATCTTGATGATTACACAGCCTGTACCATCGTTACCTGTACCATCGTTACCTGTACCATCGCTACCTGTACCATCGTTACCTGTACCATCGTTACCTGTACCATCACAGCCTGTACCATCGTTACCTGTACCATCGTTACCTGTACCATCGTTACCTGTATCATCACAGCCTGTACCATCGTTACCTGTACCATCGTTACCTGTACCATCACAGCCTGTACCATCGTTACCTGTACCATCACAGCCTGTACCATCGTTACCTGTACCATCACAGCCTGTACCACCGTTACCTGTACCACCGTTACCTGTATCATCACAGCCTGTACCATCGTTACCTGTACCATCGTTACGTGTACCATCACAGCCTGTACCATCATTACCTGTACCACCGTTACCTGTACTACCGTTACCTGTATCATCACAGCCTGTACCACCGTTACCTGTACCACCGTTACCTGTACCACCGTTACCTGTACCATCACAGCCTGTACCACCGTTACCTGTACCACCGTTACCTGTACCATCGCTACCTGTACCATGGTTACCTATACCACCGTTACCTCTACCATGGTTACCTGTACCACCGTTACCTGTACCACCGCTACCTGTACCACCGCTACCTGTACCATCACAGCCTTGTCCATCGTTACCTGTACCATCACAGCCTGTACCATCCCTACCTGTACCACCGTTACCTGTACCGTCACAGCCTGTACCATCGTTACCTGTACCATCGCTACCTGTACCATGGTTACCTATACCACCGTTACCTGTACCATCACAGCCTGTACCATCGTTACCTGTACCACCGTTACCTGTACCATCGCTACCTGTACCACCGTTACCTGTACCATCACAGCCTGTACCACCGTTACCTGTACCATCGCTACCTGTACCATCGCTACCTGTACCGTGGTTACCTGTACCACCGTTACCTATACCATGGTTACCTGTTCCACCGTTACCTGTACCACCGCTACCTCTACCACCGTTACCTGTAACATCGTTACCTGTACCACCGTTACCTGTACCATCGCTACCTGTACCATGGTTACCTGTACCACCGTTACCTGTACCATCACAGCCTGTACCACCGTTACCTGTACCATCGTTACCTGTACCATGGTTACCTGTACCACCGTTACCTATACCATGGTTACCTGTACCACCGCTACCTGTACCACCGTTACCTGTACCATCGCTACCTGTACCACCGTTACCTGTACCATCGTTACGTGTACCACCGTTACCTGTACCATCGCTACCTGCACCATGGTTACCTGTACCACCGTTACCTGTACGATCACAGCCTGTACTACCGTTACCTGTACCACCATTACCTGTACCATCGTTACCTGTACCACCGCTTCCTGTACCATCGTTACCTGTACCACCGCTATCTGTACAACCGTTACCTGTACCACTGCTACCTGTACCATCGTTACCTCTACCACCGCTACCTGTACCACCGTTACCTGTACCACCGCTACCTGTACCACCACTACCTGTACCATCGCTACCTGTACCACCGTTACCTGTACCATCGTTACATGTACCACCGTTACCTGTACCATCGCTACCTGTACCATGGTTACCTGTACCACCATTACCTGTATCATCACAGCCTGTACCACCGTTACCTGTACCACCGCTACCTGTACCATCGTTACCTGTACCACCGCTACCTGTACCACCGCTACCTGTGCCATCGTTACCTGTACCACCGCTACCTGTACCACCGCTACCTGTACCACCGTTACCTGTACCACCGTTACCTATACCACCGCTACCTCTACCATCGCTACCTGTACCACCGTTACCTGTACCACCTGTACCACCGTTACCTGTACCACCGCTACCTGTACCACCGCTACCTGTACCATCGTTACCTATACTACCGCTACCTGTACCACCGCTACCTGTACCACCGCTACCTGTACCACCGTTACCTGTACCACCGCTACCTGTACCACCCTTACCTGTACCACCGCTACCTGTACCACCGCTACCTGTACCACCGCTACATCTTGCGGGGCAGCTCCCCTCGTATCGCCACTAAAAGGGGCGACGTGCTCGCGTCGATGTGTGCGGCGAACCGGTAACCGATATTTAAGCGTGCTTTTTCATGCGATTGCGAGGAGTGCAAACCGATATATTTGAACAGCCCTCCTTTATAACTGAGAGACGAAGGGAGCTGCAAATTAAATTTGATCTCCGGGCGCGGCAGGTGAAACAATGGTGCACGTCTTTAAGTCCCCCGCACCTCTGCCCACTAAGCGGTCTCAATGGGTATCCACATGGCAACTCACGTGTGGTAGGGTCATACGTTGGTACGCCCAGCTCGTTTATTGTGTCTGGTCAGCATGGAAGAGTAGGCCAAATACCCGCTAGAGCTTCGTCTTGCTGAATGTAGTCGAGACCCTTTCCTCCAGCAGGGGCGTCAGTAAGCAATTGCAGGGCTGCGCCTTGACCCTTTGTGTGTGTGTGTACAGGACGTATGTTGAACTTCTTTCGCGCGGCACTTAGTTAAGGGTGCTAATCGGAGGTGCGGGAAACGAGGCGAAATGTACCACGTGGTTTGTACGTGGTGATGGGTTGGGGATGCCTTCATCCAGCAGTGGATGGAGCATGTGCAATAATGATAAAGAAGCGAAAATGTATCAATCAAAGCTACGAGCATTATAAAAAATGCACAAACCCAGCAAAGACTCAATATTGACACGAAATCCACATTTGGAGAGCCCGTGCCATCGTGTTCCTTCGTCAAGAATGGTGCGCCGAGGTGCGAGGAAGACTGTTGTGAAGATGATCCGCGATGTTGGCATCCTCCATGGTCGGTGCCGCTGTGATCTCGCCCCAGGGGATCATCATCTGACGAACACGGATTTCTGAGGCCACAGATCGTCCATAAAGTACGACACAAGCCATAGCGACCGACAGTTTCAGGGTAAACAAAGTGTCTGCAAGATTGGGTGATATTGGCCTGGAATCTAACCAGCAGGCTTGTCAGCTGCGGTCTCAGGCGTCAGTGGAAACAGGCGGCTCGCTGCTCTGAGCTCGCATGCTGCTGCGGTGACAGACACTTGCAAATGGTGTCTTCTATCCGTGAGTACTGGATTAATTGCACTTCCACTCTATTTGCACTTCATAGCAAGAAGGGCCTGGATGGGTTCGATTCATTGGACCGGTACCGATGAAATCCAGATGTATGTTTTATGGATTTATTTATTTTACCAGCTTTGTGACAGTTGATAAACTATAGATGCATCATGTGTATGTCTATACGTCGACGTTTACATGAGATGCGATGGAACCCATACTTGAGCCCAGGCATGTGCCCAGATCATGTGGAGCCCCTTCAGTTGAGAGGCAATAATTACACCGATGCAGTGGGCAGCGCTGGTTAGGCTGCCCATCACACAGCACACCCTGCCATACTCACAGATCCGGGTCTCCCGTGCCTTCCATGTTTTATAGAAGCATTTGTGTGGTGTAAAAATGTACCACTGATTTAATCGCATTACACACACACACACTTCAGGTTGTACTGGTTCATGGGGCATGATGGTGCTTATACAAATATTGCGGTGTGCATGTGATGACACGTGAACTGAAGTGACTTTAGCACGCAAAAAAAACCTCTCCATTCGCGGATTTTTAGTTCGCGAAGTTTGATTGCAGTATCGCGATTGCATACTGCATTAGCAAACTCTGCCAGATTAACTTTCACGCCTTTTTCCTTCGACTCTTCGCAATTTGTCAGCAATGCCTCAAGGTGACCGGATGATAACTTGCACAAGACTTGTTATGTTTCTTGTATCGCGATCTGGGGTCTCAGCTAAATTAAGTGGAGGAAGCTAAAGGCAGAAAAAAATAGATGAATTCAACTCAGCAAGTGCAGGTGTCGGATTGCACCTTCCCCGTGGTGATCGTGCGTCTGCTCATCATCATAATGACAACAGGTAAATATACAACTTTCAAATGGACAGTATAATTTAATGTTTTATTCTATTCATTCAATATTTTGTTGCATTAACTGTATTGTGATATATTTGTATTATTACACAATTTCATTAAGAAGATGGATGTTATGTATGTGTGCAGCGGAGGATAAATGTTTGTGCACGAACAGCAGTTGGTGTCACACGGCGTGGCTGCGAGTGACTGCCCCCGTGCGCGTCACGTGGGTGGGGGGGCGGCGGACCTTTGCTCGAGTGGTGCCGCTGCCACGGGGCTCGGGGCGGATCGCCGCGGTGACCGCCTGGGCCGCGCCCGAAGGAGCCCCGTGGTAGATTCTGCGATGCCATTGCGGGCAACTGGCGCCCGCTGCCTGCCGCCGCCGCCGCCGTGAGTACAGGACGAGGACCCGCGCCCTGCGCCGCGATTTCGCTTCAAGTCACTCAGAGGGCGCATCAGCCTCCTATGCTCGTTACAGAGGTTCCGTAGAATGCATTCGTATTTTAATTGTCTCTTACACATTTCAAGAAACAGCAACTTTATACTATCCAGAATAAAGTTTTGTTGTTGTAAGATCCCGTAAAGATAAATGTGTCTTTTGATTTAAAGCTTTCGTGACTGCAGGGATTCATATTCTTGGTTATTTTGGTAAAGTTACGTAGAAGGGAAACAATAAAATAAAAAAAAATTAGTTAATTTTTATTATTTTATTATTTCCCTTCTACGTGACTTTACCGAAAGAACCAAGAATATAAGATAAATCTGTCGTTAAACCCCAAAAACCTGGTTTATGAAAGATGATGGTCGCGAAAGTCTACTGCGTGTTCAACGAACGCCTCTGGCTAGCTAAACGTACTGCAGCGTATTCTGTTCACAATGTGAATACATGTCGCTCAGTGCATCTTAAGAAATAGACGTGTAATTGTGTTAATTACTATTTCGTTCGCATTAAGATAGCATTTGCTCTTGACACAGGTTTTGTAATAACTCTTCCTCCTACCCGTGAATATGTTGCGTTTGAGTGGCAATGCAGTCGCAGCAAGACTCTTGCACACATCACATTCGTTTGACTTTTAACTGCGATTCTTAAATATGTTTGTGTTAGTTTTGACGTATCAGAAACACTTGGTCCTCGCTCTCCAGTTGCCTGGCTGAAAAGTGGGCCCAAGTTGTGCCCAATCCTGGCCAGCTGCCTCTAACGAGCGTAGTAGTCAAGAGTGGCGTAGTGGCGTCGAGTTGCTACTGCTGCGGGAGACCTGAGCCACCGTCTCGCCATGTCTCCGCCACAAATGACAACTATCATCATTTTAATTATAGAAAATAATAATAACATAAATGTTCGAGAGTCCCTGGCATGACGCACGACATGCGTTTCATGAAAAACAGCGCGTAAGTCGAATCGCGCTGTACAAAGATGATCTTCCCCATAGACGGGGACCTTATAGGGGTTGCGTTACCTAAGAAAACGAAGTACTGTATTAAGTAATTGCTTTATTTTAACACTGGATTTACAAAATACATATACATTTAACGCTTTATATGATTAACTTTTCAAAAATCACTGAGGATTTTCATCGATAATAATATAGAAATTAAGACTGAAAATATTACTCCTTACAAAGATTACTGCAAAATAAGATTGCTACGCCCAGCCCGTGCTCATTGGGCGCGGACATGGCGCAGAGACATTTTTTATTTGACCTGCGAAATATTTTTAATGATTTTCTATTTTTATAATTCAAAACGGCGTTACATTTAGAAAAAACTAAAACCTGTTTTTAGCGCGGAACTGTGAAACGCAAATCATAAGTGTCAAGTATGTTCCTAAAAGATGAACCGCTTAACTGCGACTTCGCGTCTATGGGGGACGTTCCGCGAGGGACACCTGAACTGGAATTGGAAGAAAAACATCAAATTCTGAAGATGAAATATGGTCTTCATCCCTCCCCCAAGGCATTGAGATATCCTCATTTTAAAACTGCAAAGTGGTTGCTAAAAGCGAACAATGTAACTGGTATTGGCCACACATCAAAGTGCTGAAAAGGTACTGGACCTGCAAATTACTTGTTAAGGCTGTACGGGGGATTTTGTCGTTGATTGGATTACGCAGTAGCAGCAACATCGGCCGCTACTGTGACAACTTGGCAAGATCCTCCTTAAAAAGAGTCTCGGGACTCAGCGAGGCTTTCTTTGGTAACAAAAAAAATATTCATGATAATAAATTAAACTTGTTTGAGCAGCCAGTTGCTTTGACTTGAAAACACAACTGGAGTTTGTCGAATCAGAGCTAGCTCATGACCAATACTATCGAATCTAATAAAGCTTTAAATAAACACACAAAACATAAACTATATATTTTAAAGTACCCAAGTTCACTGCAGCACAATGTTGTATACGGCCCTTTTTCCACAATTAATATCCATAAGAATATTTGCCGATATATAATTTTTTTAATAGTGGCCAAAATAATGAATGAAAACACGTAAGCCAGAGCACAGCAAAAAAACAGATGTTGATCGTAACAGGGCCATTAAACCAGAGAATCCGGGGTAAAAGAGCGGACACGGACACCCCTTACCTCACAAAACAGATCGCCAGGAGATGAGCAATAAAAGATAATAAACCCAATCAAACGAAGACGGGGGGGGGGGGGGGAATATTACTCCAATGGAATTTCCAGGGCTCTGTCTTGGAAACCCTAGACAAGCTGGCGCCGAGAACACAAACAGGTTTAAACACATTTCCCTCTTAATTGCTATTAAAACAACGGTTAAAATTAAAAATGCAATAACAAGAATAAGCTAACATTATCAATCCTCACCCTCACTCCAATTGAAGACCAGGCCACGATCTACATCAATGAATCATTACCCGTTTCTTAATTCGATACTAAATGTTACTTCACCTTTGATACTTTTACAATGTTAAAGCACAAATCTTGGGAAACATTAACAACAAAGATAATAGTGCAGTGTTGTATCCAGGGTTGTCCAGACGAGACGAGGCGAACAAGTCAAGCTGAAGCCAGGATAAAACTGTGTTCCAAAGCCTCCCGCCCGCCTTTGTCTTCCCACAGCGCGAGAGAGCAGGAGTTAACCCTAGAGCAAGTAATTACTCTTCTCTGGCCCATCTGTACACACGGTGCGCCGAACTTAACAAACCCCACCCCACTACGCAGGCGGTAAGAATTCCTTAGAAGCTGCACAGCTGCCAAACGCGATATGAGGCCAACATAGTTTTAATTAAAGAAAAATTTACAATACATGGTGTCACCCAAAACCTTAAGGCTAACGTGATTCATCTTAAATTACAGTATATCGAGGCGTTACATAACCTTGTAAACACCGAGAGGTGAATTCCAACAGTCAAGAACTTACACCTTAAACTCAAGACGGCGGAAAAAACAAAATAATGATAACTCCCGCATAATGACGAAAATGAATAAAAACTGAGTAAGGGCCAGGATAACGGGGTGAATCATAAACCTTGTTGACCATTAAACCAAATGGTATTTTGAGCGACGTTAAACCAAGGGCTAGCCAGAGAGAGGAGAGCCTCCCGGCCGTCTTTGTCTTCCCGCAGCACGTGATGAGAATATGCATACGCTCAAGAGAGCATCACATCCTCGTAAAAATAAAAAGCAGATACCTGGAGTCACAGACAGAGTCCCAACTGCAAGTGGTACGGTACCAAAAACTATGATGGAACAATGTTAACTTTTAAAACCTTAACCATTTCTTTGTGCATCGGGAAACTCATACGGGGGGGGGGGGGGGGACCCGCCCCTCCCTCCAGATGGATAACGTAGACAGAGAGACGCCTTCGAGACGAATTGAAGCGTCTGTTTCCTTTGATGGTTTATGGCTTGAGGAAGACCGAACAGAACCATGTCATAAATGACACACACACAAACATACACACGGACACACAAGCCCCAACCCCACGACACACAGCTAGATCACCCACGTAAGGAGGAGGAGCTAAGGGGAGAGATTTTGGCATAAAGATAGAGCACTCCAGCGTTGAATTCAGCTACGACCAGCGGGTCAGCTCAGCATCTGCCAGCAGAAGAAGACGGCGACCAGCAGAAGACCAGCCACCACCGACGCAGGAGAAGTCTCTACAAAACCGCCTGAATGGCGAGGTTCGCCGTTTGGCGACACGCTACCCGCTGTTAGCTGACAGCGCCATCCAGAGAGAGAGAGCGCCGACGGCGCCCCAGCGTGTCAGCTAGTCGCAGACGTACTGCGAGCATCATCTACCGACGGAGAGAGCGCCCATGGAAAGCAACTTCACCAACAACCGCGCCGCTGCGAGCGGGTGAGCTCCTAATGCCATCTACCGATGGGCCATCGCAACTACAACAACGTGTCAACTTGTCAACCCACGTCAACCAGTGTGGGCCGAACTGAACCAACTGCCCGGGAAGAAGATATCTACTATACATATGATGCATGCTGCCCCCCACTACACGACAAACTAGGCGTCTGCTTGACGCAAATAATCAATTCCGAACATTGACTACTCAACAATTCATATCACTCAAACATACATGGATCATGAACAAAAGCCTAATCCTCAAGTCCGTAAACCATCAGTGACCGTGAGAGCATCGCGGCAGACCTAGTGAACAATCCGTCGTTTATAAGTACATTAATAAAACATTTTCTCTCTTAAACTTATTTTCCTTCATTTTGTGATTGTACTTCTAATCGCATAAATTACCCATAGATTCATTAATACGAATTTATTCTTGACACCTTCGCCACGGAACTACGCTCACGGGGAGAAATCATGTTAAACCGGTTTCCTTATCATACAATCTTGTTCACGAATTAATTCATCTCCCGTGAGATATCGTTTCTGCTCCAGTGAAGAGGTGGTGCTCGGCTCTGAGCGAGTGGTGGAAATTCCACATTCCTATGGCGACAATCACTGTTGAGTTCCTCACATAGTGATACCCCCTGTTGTATACTTTGTAAGGATGATGGGCTGAGTCAACCCTAAAGTGGAATTTTAAATTACAAGCTGCACATGTATTTAAGTTATATCGTTTACTATTGGACAATCTCACAAACACAGCCCAATGTAACAACACTGCTGGATTAAGGCTTCTCCACACCTTTCACATATAAAACATATACGTATTTTAGTCCATCAGTTTATTGGCTTTCCAGACCAACATCAAGCAGCATTTGTTGAAAATGCAAACTTTGGTCCAGTTTTGAATGTCTCTGTCTCATCAGCAGAACCAGGCTTAAACAAATGCTGCTGTCTACATCATTAGACCTCCTTTGCCAGTACCAAAATGTAATAATAGGGTTTTTCCCCGTTTTTCTGGCAACAAAACTGAAACCTTTTTACAAGGATTCATGTCTGCATTAACCACA